CCAAAACACCACATTTTCTTTATCCAGTCTCCAGATGATGGGCAAATGGGCTGTTTCCAAGCTTTAGCTGTTACAACCTGTGCCATTATGAACATGGGTGCGCATGTATCGCTGTGATATGATTCTTTTAATTCTTTTTGGAAGATACCCAACAGAGGAATAGCTGGATCAAATAGGACCACTAATCCTAGTTTTTTGAGGTATCTGCATATTGATTTCCACAGTGGTTGCACCAGTCTATACTTGTACGAACAGTAGAGAAGGGTTCCTTTCTCCTCACAACCCCGCTAGCATTTGTTATTGATTGATTTCTTGATAGTAGCCATTCTTTCTGGGGTGATGTGGAATCTCAGTGTTGTTTTCATTTGCATCTCTCAAATGACCAGTGATGTTGAACATTTTTTCATATGTTTATTTGCTATTTCTATTTCTTTGAGAAATGCCTGTTCATTTTAGATACCCATTTTTTGGTTGGGTCTTTAAATTTGGGAGGTCTGAGATATATATATATACACACATACATATATATATTATATTATATATATATGTTATTGTCATCTCTTCCTCTTGGATTTTTCCCTTTACAAAGATGTAGTGTCCTTCTTTGTCTCTCTTAGCATTGGTTTGAAATTCATTTGATCAGCAAAGAGGATAGCTACTCCTGCTTTTTTTCAGGTTCCTGTCGCATGGAGTATTATTTTCCACCTTTAAACTTTCAGTCTGAGTTTCATTTTGAATTAAGTGTGTTTCTTGTATGCAGCATATTGTTGGATCTTGCTTCTTGACCCATTCTGCCAGTCTATTTCTTTTGATTGGTGAATTGAGACCATTAGCATTGATGGCTATAACTGATATGTATTGACTTATCTTTATCATGACCTTCTCTTTATGTTGGATCTTCCCACTTTGTGTTTAATTTCTTGTCTTGCCCGATGGATTCATTCTGCTGTGCTTCCTGGGGTTGTGATCCTCATTGTTTTTTCCTAGGATATTGTTTAAAAATTTTTGGAGTGCTGGTTTGGTATTCATGAAGTTCCTAACATGCTCTTTGTCATGAAAGTATCTTATTTCTCTATCAATTTTGAAAGATAGTTTTGCAGGATACATTAATCTGGGTTGGAGGCTGTTTTCCTTTAGGGCTTGAAACACTTCATTCTGTGCTATTCTTGCCTTGATGGTTTGTGTGGAGAAGTCTGCTGTGATTCTGATGGAGTTTCCTTTGTATGTGATTTGTTTCTTTTCTCTTAACTGCTTGTAGGATTTTGTTCTTCTGTTGGGTTTCTGGAATCTTAGCTATTATATGCCTATGTGTAGATTTTTTTTGATCAAGGCTAGTTGGAGTCCTATATGCCTTACTTATCTCTATATCAAGTTGTTTTCCCCTGCTTGGGAAGTTTTTTTGCCATTACTTCTGTGAACAGATTTTTTTTATGTCATTTGCACTCTCTCCTGTTTCTTCATTGACTCTGATCAGTCTTATGTTATTCTTCTTTGCATCATCTAGCAGCTGCTGGATGGATTTCGCATGGTCACTTACTATTTTTAAGAAATTTTTCTTTTCCTGTCTTCTATATCTGTCTTCTATAATTGCAATCCTGTCTTCTATATCTGATATTGTGTGCTCACATTGGCTCATTCTGCTGGGTAAACTTTCAATGGAGTTTTTAATCTCCTGGATATCTGTTTGCATCTGTTTTATGGATTCCATTTGTTTTCTATGCTGGGACCCCATCATGTTCCTCAGCTCCTCTATTTTTTTTTAATCTATGTTTGCTCTAGAGTTATTAATCATGTCTTACACTATGGGCACAATCTCTCTGCTGTTATCTGAGAAATTATTTCTGATTTTATTTTTTCCAGATCCTCTTTTGTTGCCAGTTCAGGGAGTCCAGGTTGTTGAGTATCAGACTGTTCCATCTTGTTGCCCGTTGGGGTTGCCTTAGGTGATTTAGGAGTCTGGTTTTGAGACTTGTTTATGTGTCTTCTCATTTTAACACATGGAGCCTGTTTTGTCTTTGTTGAGGTGACTTTGTTCTCCCAGTGGGCTTCAATTCTCAGCAAGCCTCAGAGAGGCTTTCTCTCTGCTACTCACCACTGCACCAATTGCTGGGTTCAGAATGGTGGCCTTTTGTATCCCTGTACTGCCATGTTGTCTGGGCATGCCTCTGGCTGGGGCCTGCCCACCTGCATAGCTATTGTCTGGGAGGCCTTTGGCTGAGGGGTATGAATACGAGTCACTGGTGTCTGAGCCAGCTTCTGGCTGGGATCTATGTGTACTTAACAAAGATATCTGGGCGGGCCTCTGGCTGTTGCTTGTTTGCCTGCACAGCTCTTTTCCAGGTGGGCCTTTGGCTGGGGCCTGGGAGCCCAAATTGCTGGTGTCTGGGCAGGGCACTCCAGCTCTAACTTTTTTGAAAATAAGCTGTATTTCTTCAACTATGATTTACCTTCTAGACCTCAGTGATCAACACAGTCCTTTCCTCCCTCTTCCTTCTCAGTCTGAAATAGGAAGGTTGTTTTGTTTTTACTGTAGATTCAACCAGTTTCAGGTAGAAGAAAAATTTATTTTAACCTCAGAATATATGAATGGCATTTAATTTACTTCAGCAGCTTGGCTTGCTTTATTTATTTATTTAGTGTAGAAGCAGAAACCTACCAAAACCTTAGTTTTCTGGCCAATTTCAATCTCTGATAAATTGACAGTATTACAGGGAGGGAGTCTTTGTTCCTCTAATGCAGGCAATTCCTACTGATTTAAATGAGTAAAGGAAGGGCAATACCTTCCCCAGGTATTGCCCACATACTTGACATTTTGCTCCTGTCTATCTATAGCACTTGCATTTGTGTTTTGAGAGGTTTGGTTTAATAACCTGTTACAATTTGGATCTAGAATGTCCCCCACAAGCCTTGTGCTCAGAGATAGGAGTTTAGAGGGCAGTTGAATAATGGTGGGCACAGTGCTCCTCAGTGAATTAACCCACTGATGAATCCATAACTAAATGTACTGTTAGGAGGTAGACTTGGTCAGAAGAGTTAGACCCCTGGGTGTATGACCTGGAAGCATGTATCTCCCTCCCTGCCTCTTCCTTTCACACTCTGCTTTCTGGTCATCATCATGTGGGCACCCTTCCACCTTGCCATTTCTGCCATGGAGCCAGCTGACCAGGGACTGTAACCATGAGCCAAAGTAACCTTTCCTCCTCTAAGTTGTGTCTGATATTTTGTCTTTGCAATAATAAAATAACTAAGATGAAGCTAATAGCTGGTTCCCACAGGGATGGTCTGTAGCTGCTGTTGTCTAACAATTTAAGTATTGTAAGAAGACTCTGTCTGCAGGGATAATGGGATATCAGGAAGCTTAGTCAAGACAAAGCTGAACTGTTACCTATCTATGTGGCCTATGCATGAAGAATAGTTTTTTCCTTTTTAAATGGTTGGAAAATATGAAAAGAAGTTTATTTCAGTACATGTAAAAATATGAAATTTGAATTAGTGTCCATACAGTTTTATCAACATATAACCACACTCTCATGTTTTGTGTGTTGTCTGTCTGCTTTCATGTTATAACAGCCAAGTAGAATAGCTGGAAAGACATGGTGAGGTCAGCAAAACCAAAAGATTGACCATCCAGCCCTTACAAAATAAGTTAATTGATCTGGTCTAGAATATGTTTTAGTGGAGCTGCACTGATAATTGCTTTTTTTTTTTTTTTCGGTACCAGGGATCAAACTCAGGACCTTGTGCTTGTGAGGCAGGCGTGGTGCCACTAAGCTAAATCCCTAGCCCTGATATTTGCATTTTAAAAGATATTTTAGAGTTGAAAATAGGGCACTTCAATGCTATTGCTGCTCAACAAGATGTGTGTGCGTGCGTGTGAGAGAGTGAGTGAGTGAGTTTCAGGACAATTATTTATATTTTAAGTTAAGATGGGAATAAGAATGCTGCCTATCTCTGTGTAAATAGATCTTATTAAAAAGGAAAACTTAAAATGTATTTTATGTACTCTACGTATTTGAAACTAGCTCCCCCATGTTGTAAGTTTTCCCAAGTCTTCTGTTTGATCTGAGATGGTAGCATTCTGACAATTGCCTCTGTAATTAATGAATTTCTTTTAGAAGAAGATTTATCCCTTATTTGATGTCTCATTATTGGAGAAAGTATATTTTCCAAGGTTATGTCTGCATCATGTCACATTACCTAGATGCTCTCATTAGTTTAAAAAGTGTAAGAAGTCAGATGAATTATTTCTAGCATCATATCAATTCTTTAAAATTAAATGGAGATATGGGAATTTAGAAGTCTGACATTTTAAGCTAGTTGCTTTTTATGACAATATAGAGAAAGATTGACTGTGATAGAGGAATGTCATGTAGAAAATGCATTTTTAGCCTCCAAATGTGCAGAAAATTGAGTGTTGATTTAATACTTTTTAAAGGTAAATATTTATGCTCTTTGATGGAGTGCAATTTATAATCAATCTATAATTATTCCATAAGAAGATACTGTTCTACTTGAGTATTAATTAAGGGTACAAAAAATCATTCTTTTCAAAAGACCTCTGAGACTAATCATATTTATTAATATTTGCTTCCTATAAAGTTTATAATAGTTTTTCTATATTAAATTATCAATGCTGATAATGCTGAAAGAAAAACAGTATGGCTCATTATAATTCTTAGTTATCAATGGTTTCAAGTTCATTCTGGTTTGGGGGTAATGTAATGAATCAATATGATTTCTAGGACTTAAAACCCTAACATATCTGCCAATGAAGTTCAGTTCATTTGAAACCAGATTTTTTTTCATATATTGTGATAGAGCTTTTGAGACTGAGTGGTCTTTTGTTCTGTGCCTAATAAAGTCCGAGTGATGTTGTACAAGTTATTGTTCATACCCAGGTGTCTTCTCCTTCCCTGTCCCACCAGGTCCCACTTGCCCAAAGCCACAGCTATGCTTCCACATCAGTAACTTTCTGCAACCTTTTCTGTTTCTTTTTTCAGGCATCTAGTGGGAATTATTACTTCATCCCCTACATTGTGCTGCCATGTGGTACTTATCTTTACTATGAGAATGATGCCCAGAATCAAGCTTCAGTGCACATGCAGCCCAACTGGGAGGCCATCCTGCGCCCACTGTGCATGCCTCTGGTGGACAGGTTCATTAGCCTCCTCAAGGACATCCATGTGACTTCATGGTAATTCCTAACAGCCACCAACAACCCTGGGAGTCTTGTCAAAATTTCCCTTCATTTTCAGGGAGGCAGTACACCTTGAAATTATGTTAGATTTACATCAGAGGTGGGATGGAATGCTCACTTGGAGGTGGGTAGGTTTGAATGTAGGTCCTAGATTAGGTGATTCCTGGCTCTATAGCCTTGACAAAGTCAGTTCCCTTCCTTAAGCCTCAGTACTTGATAAATTGTACCTTCAGTGTCCTTATAAAAGTTAAAGACAGGGCTGGGGATCTAGCTCAGTGGTTCCGCTGCCTCCCTCGCAAGCGCAAGGACTGGAGTTTGATCCCAAGTTCCAAAAAAAAAAGAGTTAAAGGCAGAAAAACTATTCTTCTTAACCCAAAGGACCAGTTGTTTTGTTTCCACCCAAATTTAAAGGATTTATTCCTGTAAGTTGTGTCACAGGAGGAGGATTGTCCTTCCAATACAAATGAAAATCCAAAGCACTGACAGAACTGACTTGTAATGAAATGTCAAGAACTACATGTCACACTTTGGCTCAAATCATGGTACCCTGAACTGTGAAGAGTTACTACTGAAGTATTGACATGAAGTTCATACTTTTATAAGTCTGCTCTTCTTTTCTATTTTGTCACTTCTCTGGATGGAGACTGTCTTATATAGACTTCAGTGGAAAAGATTGGAAACCTAGATATGTGTGACCACATGCTAACGCAGAAAGCAAATGGAGTATTTGTGGCGTAATCCTGGCAAACCTCATTCAATCATACCTTGCTAACTATTGTCTTATTGCAAAACAAACATTTTAGTGAATTTAGGGAGAAAATTTTTTAATATCTTATTTTTGCATCTGACAAGGAGGTAGACTAGCTTTGAATTTGCCAAATGAGTTGCATCTTTGCAAGAAATGGGTTCAGGTTTGTTCCTCATTCAGCATATCTGTATATTAGGAGGAAAAGACCTTTTTTTTTTTGGTACCAGGGATCGAACTCGGGTCCTTGCACTGGCAGCGAAACCACTGAGCTAAATCCCCGGCCCTGGAAAAGACCTTTTTGATGTGGTTTAATTTTCAAGGGTTTGAAATGTCTGTTGCTGGATTCTATCTGATAATTGGCAAATGTCTGGCAATGGTTAGTGAGAGAGTAAGTGGTGCTTGTGGTTGAAAACATCTATAGCAGAGATGGCAGGTAATTTTTTAGGTCAAGTAATAACTTTGATAGATTTATAAAGTCTGTTTTGAGTCCTGTGCTGAAAAGGGCTTTGAAGCCATTTCCAAGTTCACGTTTATGAGTAACATCTTTCCTGGTTACCAGAGGCAGAAATGGTTGCATGTTTATTGCATATTTGATGTCCCTAAGCCATAATCAAGTCAGTGTTTTATTTACTTAAAAATAACTGTTCTTATTAGAATTCTTCATTTATTAAAACTATTTTTCAGAATTACCCTTGAAAAAAAGACTAAAGTATAACTTTTTACCCATCAGGCTAAACTAACAACACTTTAATAGCTTGGATACCTTTAAAGTCTACCAAATGGGCAATGGCTGTCACCCAACTTAATGACTCATTCAGTTAATGACAGAATTTTAAACACTGGCAGAGCCTACTAATTTGCTCATCACTGGAATAATAGCAGTTGACAAACAAGGAAATAAAAATATTTTTATATCAGAACCCTTTCTGTGGGATATCGCTCCATTGTTTAAATGTTAATTGAGGTATTATGAGCCTTAGAACAGATTGTGTCCTGTATGCACATTTCTGTGGCATAGCTTTATAATTATTCAGAGTCAGTACCATTTGTCCTTACCCTATGTTTTGTTTTACTTTCTCTAGAGACAGTTATTTAATTTAGCCTGTTCTCTTTTTAATGAGCAGCTTAATTTTACTGTCTACATTTAGCTCTTTCAACTTCTTAATGAATTGATAGCATTACTGCTTGACAATGCTTAGTGTCTATTTTAAAATTATTTGGAAAATGGATAAGATATTTAAATAAATCTGTGGTCATTATAAGTCAGCTTCTCTGTACCAAATTAGGTCATTTTTCAAGTTTTTAAACCAAGTATCATGTACTAGCATTAGCTCTATGAGAAGCTATGGTGACATTCAGATGTGGATTTATACTGCTTTAAATATTTTTAAATATTCCTGTTATCTAGATGCCCACATGAAGGAAATTTTATATTTTACATTAGAAAAAATTTTATATTTTACATTGCCATATTTTACATTCTGGCGATCAAATATGGCAAAGACAGCAAAAGGGTGAAAGGTAAGGGTGTCGCTGAGTTTCCCCACACAGCCTCTGTATGCCCCTTTTGGGATTGTTCAGGGTCACAACACTAGTTTCCAACTCTCTTTCAACTAGGGAAAGCTTTGTGACTACTAAAGGGGACACTTAATAAGCAGAGATGTTTTCAAAGTGAATTTCCCTTTGTCTCATGGGTTTAAGAATTTTGTTTGGCTTTGTGGTTCTTATTTGTGAGGAAAATAAATATTCAAGTAAGCTACCTTATTATCCTATATATGTTTAAAAATATAAGAGAAAGTAGGTTGATTAAAAGGTCCTGCTTGTCGCCTGAATATTTTAGCTTTGAAAAAATTTAAAGTTGTAATGAATTTTTTTTATCATTTAATAGTCCATTTCTGCAAGATGTAAATAACAGATCAGAGGGTCTCTTGGTTGCTGGTTCAGGATGAATAAGGTCTAGGCTGAGTTCTCCAGCTATTAGCTTAAGACATGTCAGTGAGAACTGTGCTTGAGCACCAAAAAGAGTCCTGGATGAATGTAAATATAACTAGGGCTTTTTGTATTTCCCTCTCCAGTACTTATTACAAAGAAGCCTTGTTAAATGACATCCGGAATGCCAGAGTAAAATACCAGGACAACGAACTGGCAATGGAGCTGGCTAGGATCAAACGTCACATGAATAACATTGAGGTTATGACCTCAGATATCATTATTAATTTACTCCTGTCCTACCGTGATATCCAGGTATGAAATATGCCTCGCTGAGGCTAACATATGCTGAATTTTTCCCTGGAATGAAACTCTTTATGAAGTACTCATATCAGGTGTATGGTAATGTAGATGTTTTATATAAAAAGGTATGTTACTAGGTCATAGGTCATTCCCTTTTTGTAGTAGGAGTTTTAGAGGAGGTTTTTGTCACGTTGGGCCTAATGTGACCATACTAACAAGAGATCGGATATGCAGGACTATTTAGTATAAGAAACATTGACTCTACCTGTTTATGTACACTTTATGCTAGGCATTGTTCCAAGCCTTTTGAAAATCCTCATTTAATCCTCTTAACCCTATGGTATAGGTTTGCTCTGATTATACTCATTTTGCAAATAAGGGAAACGAGGCACGGAGAAATGAAGTAACTTACCCAAAATCACAGAGTTGTTAATAAACTTAAGATTCAGATTGAGGCCATTTGTTCCATTGTCCTTGTTCTTAAGTCCTCTTCTACTTCCTTTAGGCCTTCATCACTTCCTTTTTTGTTTACCACCACTTGATTAGTGAGAGAGCAGGGATTCCAGAGGCATATACTGGACCCAGGAAATGCACATATTTATTCTAAGACAGGAGTCAGAAGTTACTAGAAAGTTCTTGAGGCAAGGCTTGTGGGATATGATACCATGAAGGGAATTGAGCATTTTCTCCTCCAAGTTTATTTGCCATGGAGTCATATCTAAAGGTGTCTTGCCTCTTTTTCCTCTGGATGCACACAGGACGTCTCACTTGTAAAATTCTACAAAGTCAAAATTGTTGCCCACAGTTATTTAAATCTAAGAATGGAGGCAGCCACTTATAATGTAGGCCAAGAACAGAGTCAGCCACTAAGGAACGCATGTCTAGTAATAGACAGATACAGCTAATTGATTTTAATTGCTAATGATAGTAGGGATTAAATCATGCCCCTAGCTGTTGGCTTTCTTCTTCCCTTGCCTTTAAGCAACCTTTCATGTCTTAATCTTCCATTGATGGTACTTACAAGCCCAGAGGTGAGCCAGGAAGTTCCTGGAATACGATGCTTTCTCTTTCCTGGGGAAGCAGCATCAAGGTGCAGAGCCATGAGACAGGCATGGGATTTCAGTAGGAAGCCCTACTCTGCTGACTGTAGCTAGCACCAAGTTAGCCAATACCAATAATTCTAAGCCTGGATGAAAAGCAATAACAGGTAGCACTGTTATGGTTAGAGGAGACACAACTAAGACATACATGGTAGCAGTTTTTCCCTGGGTAATTATGCAGCATTTAGAACAGTGGTTCTCAGCCTATGGGCACTTGACAGCATCTGGAGACATTTGAGTTGTCAAAACTGAGTGTAGGTTAGGGGATTACTGGTAGCTTGTACTGGGTAGAGGCCAGGGTTGCTGCTACTTATCCTATAGTGCACAGGACAGCATTTTATAACAGAATGTTCTAGGCCCAATACATCAACAGTGTTCAGGTTGATAAATCCTGGTTTAGATTAATTTGTTGATTCTAGTAAAAAGAAGAAGGACTAAAATGTTTTATCTCTTTATGTGGGAAGTTGTCTTTCAGGTTTCTTATATGTATATGTCCAGCTGGTTTTAACACACAGCTCTGCTAGTGGTGTTAACCTTCTTATACTCTGCTAGACTCACTCAATTTCTTTTGTTGCCTTTGGATTAACAATTTTCCTTTGATCCCTGTGTGCTATTTACATCAGGGATTCCTTCTCTGTCCTCCCCTCTTTTATTCATCTTGTTTAAAAACTTTTTTTTGTCCTAGTAGAGGCTACAAGTAACTTAACTAAAACTCTGTGTAAGGAAAGGCTTGTCTTTAGATTTGGAGGCTGTCTCATGTTTATAACTACTGAGAAAAATCTACAAAGAGCTGTTTTCTGTCTTTCTCATCCTGGACTTCTTGCCAACAGGACTATGATGCGATGGTCAAGCTAATAGAAACACTGGAGATGCTACCTATGTGTAACGTGGCTGATCAGCATAATATTAAATTCCACTACGCATTTGCACTGAATAGGTAAGAATGATGATGTGTATGTAGGGTTTTGAAACATGCCACCTTTTAAAATCTGCTTCCTCCTTTTATTCAACATCCATCAAATATGAGCCAGGTTATATGCTAAATGCCAAGGTTATGAAAATGGGCAAGGCATAGTCTTTGTCCTCATGGACTTTGTCTTTGGAACATATATTCTGGCTGTGAGATGAGACACATAAATAAATCCTAATAGCTCGGGGTGATAAGTGGTTTAATTGAAGTTTATCCAAAGTGATATGGAAGTATAGCAGAGGAACAGAGTCATTCTGTTTGAGAGTTTTAAAGAAGCTTTTTTGGGGTCTTCTGGGCTGAGTTTTGAAGAATTAGTAAGAATAACCTAATGAATGGGAGAAGGTGGGGGTGGAGGGAAGGTGAAAAGGCCATTGCATTTGGCCAGACCAGAGTATGAGTATACAGTTCTTCATGTGCAAGGTGCATTCATGGAGCATTCAGTGCAATGAGAATACAGATGTAGGTGAAACATGCAGACAGTGCAGCTAAGCATGGAAGATGGGGCCATGTCTCAAAAGGACTTCGTAGACTCAAAAAGTTGGTAACGTCTTGTAGATTGTGTGTGTGTGTGTGGGGGGGGTTGTTAAAGCAACAGGATTGACATTGTATGGCAGGGAGAGAGGGTATTATCTTTATGCACTAGCATAATCTGAACTTGGGATTTTAAAATGCTGAGCTAAATCCATCACGTGCAACTTTGAAATCCCTGCCTGAAGACCACAAGCTTCAAAAGTTTAAGTGTTAGAGGTGACAGCTAAGATGCAAATTATCTAAGATACAAAGAAACCACAAATGCTGTGATTTTTTAAAAGATTGACATTTCCGTTTAGCATAGGCTAGAGGTGAGTAGATCAGTCTAGTGGCACAGCACTGCTCTATGAGTTGCTTAGAGACTTAGAATCTAATCATTTTATAACTTTTATCACCTAGAGTATTGACCTTTATTTCATAATTGAAGCTAGGATATTGCCTTTCTATGTTCCAACCTATGGAATGGGAGGGAGGCTTTGAAGAGGAAGTCCAGGCAGGTGATTTTCTTCAAAGCAAGTAGAATTTACACATCCCACTTTTATTCACATTCCATTGGTGAGAACTCAGTCACGTGACTCCATTTAGTTGCAGGGGGAGCTGGGAAATGTAGTCTCTAGCTGGCCAGCCATATGCCCAGCCAAACTTGGATCTGGAGGCTATAGTCAGGAGTTTGACACATTTAATCCTACAAAAATCCCAGGTGCCTAAGTGTCTTAGTTCTATCATCTCCCTTCCTCCATTTATAATATATGGGAAGAGGAGCAGCATAAGGTGAATATCATGAGAGCCATAGCCAGATAAACTCCCTGTTGGGCCTGTTACCAACCTGAACTGGGAATTAGTCATATCAAGTCATAGAGCAGAGCATTCTGGGAGGGTATTTAAACTTAGCTTGAGAACTGGAGAGTTCTGGCACCTCCTTTTCAACCTCCCATGGCTGACATCTTACTCAGGGAATGAATAAAGTGAACGTTGAGGATGAGTTGGAGGACTTTCATATCTGATTTCCCAGTTTCATAGGCTCTGCTTTCCTTCAGCAGCTGCTAGGGTATAGATTGTTGACCTGCCACTAGCAGCATCTGCAGGAAAGCAGCAAAACAGGAGCCCATGGTTTCGAGAGTCTTACACATGTGAAGTCACATCTCTCTCATTTTAATTGAGGTAAAATTTGCAGTCAGTAAAATCCATAGATCTTAAGTATATAATTTGATGAGTTTGATAAGAGGATATACACAGGTAAACAACACCCCCTTCAAAATAGAAAACATTTTCATCACCTTAGAAGTTCTTCATGCCTCTTTGCAGGTAGTCCTTTCCCCTCCTTTGACAACCACTGTTGTAGCCTCTATCTCCATGGTTTTCTTGTCTTTGAAATTTACATAAATGAAATTATACAACATGCCATATTTTATGTCTGGTTTTTTATATCCAGCATCATTTTCATAGGATTCATATATACTCTTATGTATATCAGTAGTTCATTCTCATTGCCATGGAGTATTCCGTTATATAGATATGGCACAATTTATTCATTTTACTGGTGATGGACCTTTAGATTGTTTCTAGTTTGAGGACATTAAGAACAGTGCTTCTACGAGCATTCTTGTTCATATATGTACATATTTCTGTTGGATATATAGAATTTACATGTAGTACACACAAGAAAACAATGGGATTTTAATTCATTTTTGGAGACAAGGCTTAAAGTCCCTATGAAAATGTGCCTGCCCTCTGCAGTGACCTTTAAACTCAGCATCCCAAAGTAGGGAATGTCTTCAAGAATGAAGGCCAGTCTTGATTAAGCCTGAAAACTCTGTTCCCCAAGGATAGTGGACTCAGTTTTTAGTTATATTTACTTATACCTGTGTACACTTGATTGATCCTTGATTTATGAGGATTAAATGCATTATCACTTGTGAGTTTCTATGCTTGGCACACTATAAATGCTATAAAGTTTGCTTGTTAAATAAAAACTGAGGGCCATGTAAGTCACTCATGACTTTGTCTTTTTATCAGACAGAGTAGAGGCAACTGTAATAGGATTTGAAGATTGGTTTCTATGAGATCTGTATGCAACAAGAGAAGGTGATTCTGAGACAAATATGTTTCCATTTTGGAAGCAGAATGGCCAGGATTGTGTGCCAAAGAGCCACTTTTTCTTTGCTTTCTAGTATAATTGTTTCCTGTTAGACAGTGGCTTTGTATTATAGATCAGGTAGGATTCTCAATGTTGGGAATCTCATTTTTCACCCAGCAAACTAGGAACTTTCTATAGAATTGCAGTATTTGTTCCTTTTATACATGCAATCCAATTCTAAATTTGAGGTTTTTGCTTTAGGTGCAATCTGGCCAGATGTCAGCATAGTTGCAGTAGGATTTGGCATTATGTATGGCTTTGAAAAGTTTATGGTGTTACCTTATATCTGTAAGAGGAAAATAGTGATGGGTAAAAAGTGAATTTTCTTGCATTACAGTTGACCTCTGACTCTTAGTAAGTGGAGCAAATCACGGCCATAAATTTTTTTTTTTGGTACTGGGGATCGAACTCTGGTCCTTGCCCTTGCAGGGCAGGTGGTGGAACCACTGAGCTATATCCCTGGCCCAGCCATAAATTTTTTACTAAAGGTTGGTGGAGATGAATGGCATTTGACCCTCAGATGGCAAGGGCTCCCTGTCACTAGGAAAGCTGGCTTGGGGTGGCCAGCTTTTCCTGGTGTCTTCCACTTCCCTGCATTTGGAAGCCCATTCAAAACTACTTCAAGTTTCCACAGAGCAGTTAAACTGCTGGCCTCTCAATGGCATGAGATCCTTTATGAGCAAATTTTATTTGCTGTTGCTTTTGCAGATGGGGATTTATTATGTACATTCATGCAAGCAGAATTTTCTGACCAAGGATCCCAGCCAGCAGACAGAAAAATGGACTAAAGGAGAACATCAGAATCAAAGTCCTTTATTAAAACAAAAATTTTCTATTGCAAAATACAAGGCATATGCTCACATTCTGTCTCTTGCATCTTTAGGTCAAGATCACCAACCAGGCAAATTTTACCTTTTTGAATTACTCAGAACCTGGAGAGGAAACAGAATAGATGATGAATTTAGTGGAATGTCTAAAATGTCATTTGATAAATAATAGCAATAGAGAGAAGATGCTCCATGGACCCTAGAAGAGTGTGTGGAGGGGGGATATTATATGAAAGTGACTGAATCCAGTCCACACCAGAGGGGCACCAAGCTTGTTCCAGAACCTACACCAGTCACCTAAGTCAGCCTCTGGGCTTCCCAGACAGGTTATTCTTTGAGTGAAGGGACACTTTACCTAGGAGGGCACTGCAGGCTTGTCACCTCTGCAAAAGCTGTCAGCCTTTTTAAAAATTTCTTATCACCATCTTGCCAGGTGTGGTGGTGCATGCCTGTAATCCCAGTGCTTGGGAGGCTAAGGCAGAAGGATCACCTCAAGTTCGAGGCCAGCCTGAACTGCATAGTGAGACCCTGTCTCAAAAAAACCAAAACAACAACAGCAACAAATCTTTATTTTCATGTTTATGTAAATAGCAATGCTTATTGTATGTTTTTTCAAAGCAGAAAAATTATAACATCTTCTCACTATTATAGTGGCTTATCTCTGGGTCCCTAAAAATATATCACAAAAGGAAGACAGACATTTGTTGCTGCTTTCCCAGTAGTGAAGATAACCACAAAATCTGTCAACTTAGACTCATGTTCAATTTAGAGAAGCTGAAGAAAGAAAGGTAGGGATCCAAAATGTAACAGCTGAACAGTAAGAGGTCTGAGACCAGAAGTCCCGAATTTTAGCACAGCATGCTATATACAATGGTTTTTAAAGCTAAGGTTAATGTTATACCATAATTACATTCTTTCTAGGAGATTTTAGCTTGTATTTTATGTGCCTGTGGGACAATCAAAATAAAACTTCCACTTGAAATTGCTGGGCTATCCCTGTGTAAGTTCTGATTTGTCATATGTGATGAGAGTATGAGATGGTAGCTGAATATTGAAGCTGCTTTCATGATATACTTTTGGTTTGGTTTTTGCTGTGGTAAAAACATAAAATCTGTCAACTTAACCATTTTAAAGCATACAGTTCAATAGTATTAAATATATTTAAATTATTGTGAAACAGATTTCTAGAACTTTTTCACCTTGCATGTCTGAAACTCTACTTGTTAAACAATGCTCGACTTTCCCCTCCTTTAAGCCCCTGGGTAACCATCATTCTATTTTCCATCTCTATGAATTTGACTACTTGAGACACTTGATATAAATGGAATACTATATTATTTATCTTTTGTGTCTGTCTTATTTAATTTAGTATAATGCCCTCAAAGTCCATCCATGGTATAGTATGTATCAAAATTTTCTTCCTTTTCTAGGCTGAATACTAATCCATTGTATAGAAATACCACATCTTTGTT